ATATATATATATATATATATATATTCGAGAAGCCTTTCCGACTGTCTAACCTAATTCGACAAGCCTTAGGATGGTCCAAGAACTTATGTCGATCGGGTAAATGCTAGAACCAAATGGATTTTGCCTAGTTACCACTTGAATAGATTCAATTCAGATAACGTGTTGGTATTAATAATAGTTATGACGAGAAAGATATCTACATTTTTTTAAAAAAAATCTTACAACGTAAAACTGTAGAAATTGCAAAGAGGCCACCCAAGAACTATGAAATCAATGTCATTGACATCAAAATACAGTCGAAATTAATCTGACAAATAATAAAATGACGACTATTTCTTTTAATCTAATCCTAGACGAGGGGTTCTTAATAACTTACACAATTAATTTAAAGTTTTAATTTGTACATCTGTTATCCATATCGTAGAACTTCATGCTGTGATTACTACTATACAACTTTTCCAAACCCCGACCTCCGCTCTTCCCTTCCCCATCGTTCCCCTCTCCTGGAAGCGAAAATTATATGCTTCTAGAATGATGTTTAGCTCGTGATATGACGTTTAAGATTTTCGACTGGGTTCATGATGTACATGCACATGTTGAGGGAACGTAGCTTTTAGCATCTAACACACAAAGCACGTACTGTCATACCAATTCTTTTTATACGATCAACTATCACACTTGTTAGATCTTTGGCAGATAAAAATTGTATAAACAGGTCGATACGATTCAAGCAGATAGTTCTTCAAATCGAGCGTTGATCTAGTAAGGCCATACTGATGGCATGTGCCACCAATGAGTTGGTCATCAGAGTGTAAAAATCTTGATGTTCCTTAATGGTGCTACATCAAGATGTGCCACAGCATACCCCAAAAAGCTGAGAGACTACAGTTTGAATTGTAACTGATGAATGATTTCCTTAGTGATATGGTGGCAATTTATCAGGCCACGTGAGGAGCAAGAAAATGGCCAAAAGTTAGAAGCCACTGAGAACTAATTCCAAAAACTAGTTTTAACTTTTCGATCAACCTCTAGATCCACAAGACATCCCGAGCCATACCCACAAGTTAAAGGAGCTCAATACAATCCAAGATTTGTAGCCCGCTACACTTACTAGGCATGGGAATTGACCCCAACCCCTTGGGGAACCCGCTCCACCTGCCCCGGTCAGGGACGGAGATTTCCCGTTTGGCTCAAACTGGGGATGAGGACGGAGATGGGTATCGAACTCCCCGCCCTGCCCCGTACCCGTGTATATATTAATTAATTAATATATTATATTATATTACATTATATATTATTTATTTCTATTAAATAGGTAAATGGTAATTTCTATTTCAATATATTTTGTATATTATTAGATGTGGTTTTAGATATTATTCAATATGTTTTGGTACATGTGATGTTAATTTTTTTACGATTGAATCTAACTTCTTTTGGCTTTCGATTTCTTAATTATTATATGATGATGTATATTTTTAGTATTAAATTATTTTCGTTTTGATTTTAGGTTTACTGGAAAAATGTAAAATTTAAACATGTGTGACGTTTTACACATTTGATCTAAAAAAAACTTACACAAACATAAAAAAAATTAAAAAAAAAATCCCCGTTTTCCCATAAAGATAAAGATGAGGATGTGATCAAATTCCATGATAGGAATGGAGACGTGCACGAAGACAAAGACAAAGGATCAGGGTTGAATATATATATATATATATATATATATATATATATATA